AATTTTCTTGAGGGTCTCTCCATGCTACACCTTCTTCAACTGGTTTTGTGTAGCTCCACCACTTCCTCAAATACCACTAGTTGGGCCGACAAGAGTATTTCTCTGCTGACAGAGACAAAAAAGAAGAAGCACAAGAATAGCTGTCTATTACTGACCAAAGGACCATCAAGACCCACGTTCTGTCTCTGGCAGAAATGCATAATGTGGACTCTCTCTGTCTCTCTCTCAATTGAGAAAAAAAAAAAAAGGTGCAAATATAAGGTGTCTTTAGCATAAACCTTCACTTTCTGTGTGGCAGATTCAGAGAACCCAAAGCATGAAGTTAAATAGCTATTTGAAGTATCACCCTTTTATGAATTTGTCTAACCTTTTCCCAGCCCTTTTTTGTACCTTTGGCCTCCACAAGCATTCTGTGGCAATGAGTTCCACAGCACTGTGTTCTTTAGCAAAAACATCCTTCCATTTGTTTTTAATCTGTTTTAAGGCATCTGGAGGGCATCATTGTATTTATAAGGAAAATAAGGTTTTCTCATGGTCGTAGACAACATAGTCATATCTTCCAGGTTGTTTTTTTTATTTTTTATTTTTTTTTGGTAGAACAACATAGTTATGATTTCTACTATCTACCTTCAAACTTGCCTCATAAATAAAAACAAACAAGCAGACAAGTAGTGATAATCTGGCAGAGAATTAAATAAAAGTTTGTTTTTTTTTTTTTTTTTTTTTTTTTTTTTTTTTTCCCACTAGGGATCTGAGTAGTCAGCTCAGAGAGAACTAAATCTTCTGTATAACACATGGAACTTCATTCAAAGATGCATGAACAAATGCTAGTACCGTGTATTTTTTTCTCTTTTTAAATTAGTATTTTATTTTCTGAAAAAAGGGTGCAAGAAATTCTGAAAGCAATGGTTTGCATATGCTAAGTTCCTGCTCTATCCCTGTTGCTTTGAAGATGTAACTATGTAAAAAATGCTGCTAATGGAATACGGTTTACGAGTAAAGCACTAGAAACTTATGGTGTTTTGTGTGCATATTTTGAGCTGTGGCGTTAACCACCTGAGTTTCTTTTTCATTAGCAACACATAAAAAATTAAAACAAACAGAGAAACAAACAATTTTCCTGAATTTCCCCTAAGGTTGAGTTCAAGTTCACCTTGTGATACAAGAAAAGTTTAGTAATTTCTTTCTTCACTGCAGTTTGCTTGACAATCTCTGGTCCTCCCACCTGTCAGGAGAGACCTAAATATAGTGTCTTACTAATGAAGAGGATCTGCAGCAGCAGAAGTCCAGGATTGCTCACATCAATTTTAACCAGCAGCCCGGGGCTACTCGTGTTCCAGGCTATGTTTGAAAAGCATCATCTTATCTTTCTGAAGGCCCTCCTGTCTCCTGGCCTGGTTGTTTCATGAGTGAGAAGTCCCTTCCCCTCAACGTAGCAACATATAATTTTCCCCAGATCTGTAATATCCTCCGAATACTGTTACATTTCTTTCTGCTGTCTTTCACTTCTTGTATCCTCTTTTTCCTTCTCCCTCTTCCTCACCTTTTTCCCCTGCTCTTTACCTAACAGGTCTGTCTTCTGCTCCAGTTTTTCTTAGCCAAAATTTAGGAGTAAGTTCATTTGATGACACATTGCATGACAAAGGAAAGAAAAGCCAAGAGTAGCCAGTGTTCTTTCCAATGGTGAGCTGGTGGGAGGCTAAAAATCTTTTATAGGCTTAAGACTTAGCAAGCATCCCTGCTCTCTCTCTCTCTCTCTCTCTCTCTCTCTCTCTCTCTCTCTCTCTCTCTCTTTGAAGTTCAGCTTGACACCTCCTTTTGGTGCAGTGAGGGTTCAATTTAAGCAGAACGAATAGCTTCCATCTTCTTTATGGAAACTACTGATCTGACCCATGGCTTCCTCTCCCATAGCTTCAGTAAGGAGTTCAATCTAGGCTCCCTTTGCAGTCCATAGAGAGAAGTCAGCACCTTCAGAGAAACTCATTGCACTTACCATAATCCCAGGTAAGCCCTCCTTGGAAATGCCACCATGTCCATACCATGTCGTAGAGGAACAACCACACACTTTTGCCTGCCTGCGTATTTCACATGTAAATGGCTAAAATGAGTGGAAGTCCATCCACAGAGCTGAGACTGGGATCCCAAAAGCAAAAAAGATAGAGCAGCAAAGTCCCCAGGTGAGGGGAAGAGCTTCTCAGAAAGAAAATACTTCCTGCATACTTCTGCTCCTGGTGCACAGTGCCAGAATCAGGACAGTGGTGGCAATGCTTGGATCCTTCCTGTGCCAGGTCAGTAAATCACCTGTCTGATTCTCAGGAGTTGAATTATTCTTATTGTATAATTGAATTGATTCTGTGGGCAAACTTCTTGTCATGGCCTGCCTTGTTGCCCTCTCCTCAGCCACAATGTGTCACGGAGAAGGACATCAATGTGCTCTCCCCAGGAAGGGCATGCTGATCTGCTCTAAACAGGAGTTGTCGGAAATATTTGGTTGGTAGGAGGGAGGTTGTTGGGAAGTGATCTCATTTGAATTGGCATCCTTGGGGGCTATGGGAACAAGCAGGGTCAGAGCAGCCTGGCAGTGCTCCCAAAGCCACCTCTTTCATCCTGGAGAAACCAAGACCCGTAGTGACTACAGCACGAGCTGCATTCACAGTGACTATCCCAGCTCATATATGCTCTTTGTGCACACTCTTCCAAACCTGGTTTGTCATTGTGTCAAGGAGGTCCATGCTGACACGGTATTAATCTGAGAAGATTTTGGACTTCAAAGTATTGGACTTCAAGTATTTGGCTTCACTTTGTTTTGCTTATAACTAGGTCTGTCTGCAACCTGGCATCAGGCAGATTGCCTGGCCTCATATTGCCTGCTGGCTTTTGCAAGTCTCTCAGTCACAGCATGCCTTTACACACAAGGACAGTGCCTACTTCCTTGGTAAGATGGCCTTATGTCATTTGGCAATGATGCTATTATGCAGTAATTCTCTCTCAAAATGCATAACAGCTTGAATATCTAGGGAAAGGAGGTCATTTAGAGAGGGCTTAGCCTGGTAGAAGAACTCTGCCCACATAGCCCTGTACCCTGTCCTTCATGATAGACAGCAATGTCCTCATAAGAAGCTATACAAGAAAATCCAAAGTAATCATTCCCCTCCAGTATCTGGACAGCTTCCAGCACTTTTACCCTGTTCATAAGATCATCCAAGTAAGATCTTTCCCAGTTTCTCAGACTCAGTGGCTCAATGCCACTGCATCCTGCCACTGGAGGCTAGCATGCACCTCCTTAGCTCTCTGCCTCTGTAAGTAATTCAGTTCATAATCTACATCTCAGTGAGCAGCCCCTCTGGAAGTTAATTAAAAGACAAACTGCAGCACAGATCATTAGTTTGCACATGGGCCAGGAATGAGGAATCACTGTGGTCCTGCAAAATTAGGAACAGATGCCCAAACAAATCTCTAAGCAGGCCTAACTAGCAAGCCTTGGCATCACATCTCGTCTGTTAGGGAGTGCTGCTCTACTGCCACTCAGGCAACAGCAACAGTGCTGTGAATTCTCATAGTGCAATGTTACCAGTTCAAATGAAGCAAATATAATTGCTGAGACCTACGGCAGGTAGCAAAGTGTTCTTCCAGACCTTTAATCTGCAGAAAAAAAAATTACCTACTTTCTATGTCAAAGCAAAAGGTGTACAACTGGGAGAGGTGATGGGGAAAAGTGACCAACAGTCTCCTGCTAGTAGAAGTTTCCATCTGCAGAAAAGATACAACATAAACAATTCCCACACATCCAACTGGCACAGCTCTCTTAGTGTCCGGTTTTTAAGTACTCCACTGAGCATCTTCTTGTTTTCATCCTGTACTTACCATACGTGTGAGAAGAGAAAACTACATAGATACCTGTTTATTGGCTCTCCATCATAACACTGCTGCAAGTCTCCCTTGGCTCCGAAACCTCAAAAAGATTTCAAATCCAGAGAGGTTTTCTGAGACTTGCTGCTACCTTTAGCACTTTCTGCTCTGGTCCACTTCTCTCTTGAATTTCTTTTACTTGTCCTCCATTGATTTTGGAAAATCTTTAACCTGCATTTCTGCAAATCTTAGCTGCATTTTTGGTCAATGCATACAACAGTTACACATCTAAAGCCCCCTGCAACAGCTCTGCATATTGAAAGAAGATGATATTGATGGGAGAGAAACCCCTCTGCTAAGCTGAAGCTAAGAGGTTTCCATTGAGTTTGGGGTCCTGCTAAACCACACAGCCCTGTCACGCAGCACAGGATCACTGCCTCTTTCTCTTGTGCAACCCCTAAGTGTCAGGGATAAGTGGCTGGTTGACCACAGTGCTCAGTCTGTGGTCCCTGGTCCTGGCATGGTGGTGCTGGAGCGAGGACATGGAACTGTGGTGTGCAGCTCAGACCTGGCAGGGAGGAAGCCAGTTCTGGGAGCTTTGTCCTCAGTGCCTAAACAGTGAAAGAAACCACAAGCAAAACAGTGTTATGGACTGGGACTGGTGCTCCTGAGCTCTGCAGAATGGGGAGACAGCAACTAAAACATCAAAATCACAGATGATGGTGAGCTCAGGGTACATGTACTTCAACAGTTCCTTTGAAGACCCTAACACTAGGAAGAAAAACAGGCATGCAGTGTTCAAACCTACATGTGTGCCAGAATTTTGTCTGGGAAGACACGTGAAACTGACAGCCCTCTTGGACCTGTAAAAATATAGCGGTCAGCCCTAGGGAATCTGTGGGCAGCAGAAGTCTCTCAGTGCTTTTTCATCTACTCAGGGGGCAATAAAGAGGCCAGCAGGCAAAGTCTGGAAGGTGAGGTTGTTATGACAAAATCAACAGAGCACAAAAATCTTTGGAGAGGCAGAGATATTGCCTTGCTATGAACACTGCTTTCTCAGCTAAAAACTTAGACTGAAGAAAAAAAAAAAAAGCAAACTTTGAACAGCTTGGGTGAGCAAGTCAATAAATGACTGCTTTCTATTTCCTGAGAGAGAAATACTACAAGGAAACAACCTCAGAGTCTACTGAATAGCGAAGAAGATGGAGGAGAAGGAAGAGGAGAAGAAGAAGAGGAAGAAGAAGAAAGGTATTTTGATATATTTTTTTAAATTTCTTCATGAGGGAAAATGATAGCATGTGTGAAAAGGGATAATTAAGATTAGGCTGAGCCAGGATGGGGAAAGAGAACTGACACCCTTTCTGTAAGTAATGTTAGAAAAGCAGGTGAAAAAGGAAACAGGTTTGAATTATACCGGCATGTAGCTACAGGAACACAGCCATCAGTCAGAAGAGGAAGACTTTTTTCTTTGTGCAGGGGCTGAGCCAGGCCAAGCCTCCAGGTCTGCAGGAATTAGTTAAGGCTGCTAAAAACTGTTGTCTTTTTTTTTTTTCCCTTTCTCACCCAGGTGTCTCCTGCCATCAGCCTTGAATTCACAGGTTTATGAGATAATATGCACACCTTGGAGGGAACCATGTGTAGACCTTAGTATGGAGATGGGACTCAGCCAGGGACTCTCTGGAGCCAGGTGCTAGAAGAGGTTCTACAGTCAGATGATATAAATGAGTGATCAACTGTGACCCTGAATCTTTGTGCATCACCACTGCACACAGTGCCAAGATGAGGCTGGCTCCGCCCCAGTACAACTTTTACATACAAGGAGAGAGAAACGTTTTCTTGCAGCTGCCAAATCCCCAGATATTTGCACAGGGACACTGTGAGGAGGGTGAGTTGAGGAGATGCTGGCCTTGGAGAGCTTATTTTCCTTGCAACTCGTAAAATGAGTTATGCCATCACAAAGTTGGCATAAAAAGCTGTCAGACTGAAGTGTCAGATTCTTCGGCAGTGATATTTTATGCTGAGCTAAATGATGACACCATACACATAGCACAGAGAAAAGATGGTGCTGTTTTGTTGTTAGAGCAATAGCAGGTCCAAATTTTCTGTCATTAAGAAAGGTACTGTTGGAGACAGTTACAGTGAAAGTGCATTTGATGCAGAAGTTACTAAACTTGGCTCGTGTGCCAAATTCGCAGTGAGCATAAATCAGTACAGCCCTGCTAACTTGAGTGGTGTTGACTTACATCAGCTGATAAATGAATCAGAAATGTTTCCATTTAATTGGGAGAGACAAAAAATATCTCAGGGATACTCTTTAAGCTATGAGAAATGGGAATGTGCTTCCAATGCTGATAGTTTTTAACTAGTTTTTTTTGACAGATAGGATAGATTTGTTTCTGAGTCCTTTTAATACATGACCCACAAAGGCAGAAGCTTGCAAGACCCGATCTTAGACTGAATAAGCCTATGAACAGAGCTATCAAGCACAGGGTGTATTAAAACAAACAAAGAATTGAAAACATGCAGCTAGTTCAGAGGACAAATTCAAAACAATGATGTTTTCATTGCAGTAAATGAAAGGGCTCACTTGGCATCTGCCATCATGGAAACATAAAATGCCACAAATGCCAAAAGGCTGAGCACATGTAATTGGGCAGATAGCAGAGAAAGCAGCTTGGACAGTGCTTTAGCAGAAGCTGCTTAGAGAAGAGGTTTAAAAAGGAAAATCATGAGTACAAGCAAATGGAGACAATAAGTGAGAATGAGGGGGGCTGCTGAAGGAGATGAGTCAGAAGAGAGCAAGGAGTTGGTAGAAGAGACAAAAAAAGAGGCACTGAAGTTGCAGAATTTCAAAGGAAATTACGTCTGGATTTGTTGTAGAATTTAAAGGGCTGGTGCCTTTGCCCTGTGTGAATGAGATTGCTGGTGCCGATTGTGCCGGCTGAGGATCTGACCCAGTGCCTGGCAGCGTGTCCTCAGCAGTCTTTTAATAGCCCTCCCCAAGTGCCTCTGTCATAGTTTGAATTACACTCATGGCAAAGCAAAATGGATAACAACAAGATGCTGGATAATGAGATGCTAACGAGGACTACAGTGTTCACAGGTGCCTGGGAGGCTCATTCTGGGATGAAAATTAAGTAGCCACTTCCTAATTAAACTTTATCTGTTTGCACAACCTAGGGCTTACTCTGTGTCTCAGAATATGGCCTCCAGTCTTAAAGGCCCATGTAAGACATAGAAACCCAGTGAAAATGACCAGAAGCTATATACTAGTCCTAGGTTAGTACTAGGTGTGCCATGAAAACTGTGCTTCACTTTTGTTTTATGTAAAGAATTATTACCTGGTAACGCACTGGTGTTTACACTGACAGAATTCAGTAACATTTTAGTAGGTTAATGAAATGCAACCTGTTTTATCTTGTCCCTGCCCTCTGAGATCTCGTGGGGAAGACAATGTTTTGTCAGAACTTTTGAAAATGCCATGACAACTAGCAGGGGAGATAAACTACCTCCACGTCAGAAAATAGCATCTTTCTGGCAATCAAATGCAACTACATAGCATAGCATACAAAGTATACGTGAGCTGAACAACTAATGAGGAGATGTATATGTGTGAAAAAAAGGCAGCTGAGAGGCCTGATTTGTATAGATCCACAGGATATTAAATAATAATAAAAATAATAAAATAAAATAACCACAAAACTAAACACCCCCCCTACCTGCCATTAGAAATGTCCCTTGTACCTCCAGGGAACAAAATGTATTATGAGAATTTTGGAGACTTGTTAAAAGTTTGTGGCTAGGGAACAGGAAAAGAAAATCAGATACCACCCTAAAAAAAATCCCTAAAACTTAAGGAGCTGTTTTTCCTGGAAACATGCATCACCCTGAAAGCTGCACTTTTCATAAGTTCTTAGTAGTATAAACATTTTTCAGAGAAACTTTGTCTTCAGAATTTCACTTTCTGAACTGTTTGTGCTGAACATAAAAGCAATTATGTAGCTTCTGGATGCAAACATAGACAATTTGCTCTAATTTATACTGCTTGAAAACTAGATTTAAAGCAGTTTAAATAGAAGTGAAGTCTGGTTTGCTGAGTCAAAGGAGTACCAACACTACCAAAAAAAAAGTGTTGAGATCCCATCTGTGTCTTCTCCCAAAGAGAATAATTACAATTTCTCTGCATATGGAATGATAGCTAGCTTTGAAGGTGTAAAGAAAAAAATGTGATAAGCACAAAATATGGAGAACCAAGCAGTGTCAAAGCCAAACACCAGCATTCAGGTACAATCCTGGGTTCCTGCCACAGTCTTTTAAACTTTGGCTGTGCTGTTTATGCCACAACATCTGTAGATTACAGAGAGGCCCCAAAATTACTTAATTGACCAAACAAAGAAGCAATCTGTTTAAGCTGTAGCTTGTAATGTTTGTAGAAAGTCAGAAGGTGCGATAGGTAAAGGGTGAGCTATGCATCACAGCAATCCCTGACTGCTGCCCTAATAGCATCTGAGATCAACTGGAGTTTCTGGAGCCTCCTCTGGTGCCCAAGACCAGGGGCAAGGCTGGTCTATTCCTTCCCATACCTGGAACTACTGCAGCAGAGCTCAAAATCTCTTAGCCATGGATGCTGGGGTTAAAATAGCTTATTCAGCAACAGTTTATGTATATTGAACTTGCTGGCCTATATCATTTTGTATATACTAGAATATTATATTTTAAAAAATTCTATAACATCTCAAACCAATTGTCTGTATTTTAGTATGGAAAAAAAGAGCTAGTGAAGAAACATACCTAAATTATGGTCTGCAGCAATGCTAGCCTCCACCATTACCATGTTTCAGCCTTCATCTGAATGGTGTTAAATGCATTACCCATGCCACATGGTTGAGCCAGCAAAAAAATTACTGGAAAAAAGGCTTCTGGGCCGGTAGACAGAATGGAATTTAACACTGAGTTGAAGCAGACAAAGCATTTCATGTAGATTCAGAAACATAAAAACTCCTGAAGTTCCTTCTGATTGCTTGAAATATATTTTGTCCATAAACTTATAGTAGATGACCATGAAATTTCAGGCAAGTAATTGTTTTGTGTAAACTGTACTTTCTGTTGAAAAACTATTCCCAAATAAAATTCCTGGCTAGAATTTTTTCTCAAGACTGAAAGAGCCAGGCATTAGAAATGCACTGAATCTTCTGGGACTTGTGATAAAGGGCTAGGAACAATCAAGATAAAACTCCCACAAGAGAAGAAGAGATTGTGTTATTCCATTGAGATCGAAGCCTGTCTCTGAAGACCAAGGTCTCTAAGACATTTTGAAGCTAAATGTCTGGGTGTTTGTACAACATTTACAGAGAGGGGAGGTGATGCAAACAGCATGTCATTATCTGATTTACATCACTGGCTCCATCTCACACTATTATTATTATTATTTTTTTCTTTAGCAATTTGCCATTTTATAGGAAAGTAAAGAGGACTTTAAATCTACTCCAGCTATATATATATATATATATAAAATTTACTCTTTGAGCTAGGAGTTGTTTCTTAATATACATTTGCGGATATAGCCAGCTATGATGAACAAAGAAAACTTGGACCTCAGCATTTGCTTATACTATAATATTAATTATTAGTATAATACTACTATACTATATAATAGCATTACTATAATACCGTTATATTAACTATAATAATTACTACTACTGTAGCATTAATAACATCTGTGGAAACAGATATAATAACAATAGCCATTAGTGCCACGAAAAGTGGTGGCTTTGTGATTCTAATGCAGGTAATCTTCCCTTACTCTCCTCTCCCTGGGTAAGCCTTTCAAAACCAATTTTATTCATTAGCAGAGGAGGGTCAATTGAAGTCATCTCTCTGATTGTTTCAACTTGAACACACAGCTTTTTGTTCAAAAATTTGTTCAAGAAATTTGATTATTATGTTAATAGGAAAAAAGAAAAGGTCTTCCTCAGCACTTGGTGTGAGCTGGAACCATTGCTGCATGGGGAGTATGGTCCCTAATTCATCAGGAGCCAGGAGCTGCTGCCTTGCACTATAGTGTGACCTCTGGTCAGCACTGATAGGCAGCATCTTGGTACCAAGCATCACTTCCTGGCTTCTGCCAAATTCCCCTGCTGAATGAAAATGGGCAAACTCTCCCTCAGTTTCATGCATGTTCAAAACTCGGCAAGAGCTGGAGCAAGGTAAAGAAGCGCTTCAGAAGAAAGGTACAGTTCTGTTTCCCAAAGGAAAGTCTCTGCCTTGTGTACAGACAGTTCCTCCCCTGGCAGTGTACAGGGCAGCTGAGCCCTGCTCAGTTCAGAGTCAAGTCATCACCCACCAACCGATAGGCAATATATTACTTCTGGGCAGGGCAGAGATCTATTTTTCCCCCTAAACTACTCCTGGTCCAGAGGTTGGAATCCAGCTAACTGTGCGAGATGTTGGCTCATACAGTGTTTATTCTCTTGGCACTATGTTTGTGAAATGCAGTCCACAAAGTACTGCGTGGTGTTCGAGGGCTTATATTATTGCAATACAAAATGAGAAGATTATCCTCTGTACAGTCCTGTTCCACACATTTTACAGGCTACAATCTGAGCTGGCTAGCAGGTAGCTCCATGCAGGGGTCAAGAGCTGTGCATGCATTCAGAAAGAGCTCCCTTCCCTCCACTCTGTATCCCGCTGGCCAAAAGGCTCATTGCCAGAGCAGAGAGCTTGAGGGATGCTTTCTTGCCCTTGTCTACGCTACAGATAATGAGGAAGGTCTTTAGTCTCCAGGGCTGTCAATCTGGTAACTTCTCATCTGCATTAAAATTGGTCAAAAGATGTTTTTTAAAAGAAAATATAATGAGGGGATGCACTTAGGAAAATGAAAAGCTTGGCTGCCTTTTTATCATTTCTCAGGCACTTTGTGTCCTTCTCTGATGAGAGCTATTGTCATTCAGGGCAGCTCATTGTCTCCTCGTGCTGGGAGCAGATATGGGCTTGGCACCTTCTTCCTCTCCTGGTGACAGCCAGATATACACTCTGCTCATTTCCTCCCTGATAAGCTTGCCATCCTGCTTCAGAAGCTTCTCATATTTCATTTGGCTTGTCAGATAGAAGCCCCTGGTACAGGCCATTCATGGAGATTATTTTTTGTTTTGGCATTATATTAGAAAAGGGAATTTCTGAGTTACCTCCCCCTCTTCCTCATATTCCTTGTTCCTGTCTAAGCATATGGATGCTGTAGCCCCTTTCATCCAGGGCTCTTCCAAGTGCTGTTACAAATGCTGATGAAGTCTTGCTATTTCCTTGCATGACTTGTGCATGTCTTTCTCATTATCTGAAGGTGTAACTTGGGTCTGAAGAAATGGGTGGCCTTAGTTTCAGAAGCAGTACCTGTCTTCTATGTCCATAGGGTGTTGTCCTTGATGTTGTGGTCAGGTGTGATATGACTGAGACTGCCAAATTAGTCTGTGACTGCTGCAAATAATGATGGGAAACAGGAGTTCAAACCTGGATGCCCTCCACTGGTAATTTATTTTTTTTTTATTTTTTTTTGTGTGCTGTTAATTTGTACATGAAGGGAAAGAAAGAGGGAACGTGTTCAATCTGCTATCTCTATTTTGTCCTGGGTACCTATTTTTCAAAATGATGCATCCTGATGTAAATTGGAGTGAAAGAGTGAGGCCCCACAGGGCTGTTGTTCTTTTCTGTGTGTTAGGGTCAGCAGGGAAAGTTGGCCCATCACCAGGTAGAGGGAGACCTCAGCCCCTTGTCCTCAGGGAAAGAACCCATTTTGTGAAGCTCCCTACTGCAGAGGACTGGCTGGTGCCAGAACTGGGGTGCAGAAGGATAAATAGGGCCTAAAAAGACGGCAGGAACCTGCCTCCTCCCTGGCATCAGGTAAATCCTTGCATGGAATAAAACATACTTGTTTCATGGGATTTTGCTGGGAAGGTGGGATGAATTTGTGATTGTGTGTGTCTGTCAAAGAATATGGTAATAATGGGCCTGTAAGAAGAAACACACAAGCTATGCAGTTAGGATAAGCCCTGTTAACAAGCTCTGCTCCATAATTATTCAGTCAATATGCTGTCAGTTTATAAAAAGAAACTTTTTCAGGGTGGTTTTAGTGCCCACATTATCACAGAGCTATGCTACTGTTCTGCTCTAACTTAAGCTCCTAATATGTTCTGCCAAAATGCTAGGTGCTTGCGACCTGACTTATAGAGATGCAGAGCACCTGTAGTTCCACATAAAGCTAGAGAAGTTAGAACCAAGGTCAGTCTGGCTCATTATATTCAGCTGTGGTATCACCGGTCTGTTTGTCCAAACATTTATCTTGCAATCACACTCAAAGCATTTTCTGTTTGAATGCAAAAGGCACCGTGAATAGGTCTGAAAAGATGGGCATTATTTGCCTGTCTGACTTGTCCACACCCAATATGAGGGAAACTTTATTCATTACTGGTACACCAATTAATTGACAGAACACATTGAGACTGACAGGAGGAGACAACAAAAAGAAAGTAACCAAACCAGATAATAGTCGCTTTTCAACAGCATCGATATCTTTCCCTGCCTGTAAAGGTGGGACTTTCTGAATGAGCTACTCGCTTCAATAGAGACCATTAGAGAGAACCAGCTCTTCCCTCATTAAGGGACATTTCAAGCCACTGTACAGCAGAAACCAGAATGTTTGAGCTTGAAGGCAGAGCAGCCTTGCTCAAAGCTGAGGAGGGAAGAGCTGTGTCCTGAAGTGGCAGTGACTATGTCCAATGACGTGAAAGCTCCTGGTTAGGAGCAGTGTCTGCTCTGGCTGTGTCAGCCCCAGGCAGGCAGCTGGGGAGGTGCTGGGGGATGCCATGCGCCATCATGGCAAACTGAGGGGTCCTCCATGAAACCAACCTGGTAAATACCCAGTTTTCATCTTCTTCTTCCCTTTTCTGGAAACTGTTGCTGAGTGTAGCAAGCAAATACAACTAAAAAACCTTCACGCTCTTTGTAGAAGAGAGGGTTTTTTAAGAGCTAACACCATTGAGTGAAGTAGCTGTTCCAACAGCATTTGAATTTTAGATGTAAGACCTTGATTGTCTCTAAAAGCAGCTGCCACTTTACATTTAGCTACAACTACAGTGCAGACACACATATGTACACACTATGTTCTTTCTGTAAGATATTTTTTTCTTGTTTTCCTCTTGACTGAATATTGAGGGGCTGTTCAGTCTACAACCTTTCCTATCCCTATCCTCTTGGACAGTATTGTAAGGCTGGAGCTATAATGACGTAGATACCCTACCACTCCCCACGGTGGCATTCCAGAGTAATTTATTTAATCTTTTTTTTTTTTTTTTTTTTTCTTTTCTTTTTTTCCCTGAAGGTCTTCTTGCTTACCTTTCTTGTGGACACACAGCAGTGAGGGAGGACAGAAGAAGGCAGAACTCCTGACCCTCCTAGGAGCAAGATCTAGACATAGAAATTGCTTCTGCTCTCCAGGCAGGCTGCCAGCCCAGTTCCAAGATTTCCCAGCTGCTGCCGTTCAGACTTGCTTCAGCATTTGTCAGGGATGAGTGACTTCGGAGTCTGGGTCCTTGCCAAACCACCCTAGGCAGCTCATTGCACTAATCCAAAACTGTAATTGGGAGGTAGGAGGGGGCAGTGGGAGAACGTCTTATCCCCACCACAGCCCTGAGTTTTTGTTAACTTAGGATTATAAGAATAATGAACAAACTCAGAAGCCTGTCTCCTTTATTTAGTTAGTTTTGGGGCTGTAGCTAGCAATCCATTATTGTCTGTGCGATGTGTTCCCAGTCCAGCCTCTTATCAGAGGTGTTTAGCTATGCAGTGCACATAAGGATGCCCATCGGTATTGATATATAGATTCCCAGCACATCCATTGTGTTTTACATGCCTTGCAATTAGCTTTTGCTTTATCTACTGTGTGCCTACCTCGCTGTACGTGTGCCAGGAAAAAGAAGAGTCACACTGGGAGGGGAGGACTAGTAGGGCTGAAGAATTACTGAGGGAAAGTGGAAAGCAATTTGCAATCTGATAAAAGCAATGTAGGGCCAGATCCTGCCAAATGCTGATGCTGTGGGGAGCAGCTGTACCTCTGCAATACCCGGGATGAAGCCTGCTGTAGTGAAGCAATACTGGGTGGAAAGCAATATAAGGTGGAAAGATGTGGTGTGCAGCTTGGAGCAATACTGCAAACCTCATGAAGCAGTGCTGGCATGCTACAGCGATCAGAGGGCTAGCAGAAGGAAAGAGACATGAAAAAAAAAAATGGAGAAGACATGGAATATATTCTGATGCTCTAAAACACTGTGAATTTAGTCCACAGCAGGTTGCATCAGAGGAGGCAAATAGCTCAGCCTGATCCAAGGGGTCACTACCAGCTCCTTCACAGTCACTGCAGATTTTTTCTGCAGACTGTACTCCCTCCTCCAGCCATGAGAGCACCAGGTTTCCCTTACATGGGTCACTTATTGTAGCTGTGGGTCCTTAGGGACTCTGCTAGCAGGTCTTCCAAGTGACTCCAGCCTCTCATGCTGGGGTCAGCTTGCTGTTTTCTTGCTTCTATGCAGGAGCACCTGGAAGAGGCATGGATACAGGCAGGCAGTGTCTGGGCACATGGCTCCTCTCAATCCAGGCCCTTCCTTATATAGTGTCGCATGCACACTGTGCTCAGTGGGATGAACTAGATATCACTAAAAAAATCCAGGCTGTGCTTATGATTGGTACTGTCAGATTCAGGTTGCAGTTTCACAGGCATAGTCCAATGCACGACATTTATCCAAGAGTCTACCACCAGATTCTTACTGAGGTATGAAACCCAGTGGACTCCAAGGAGTTTGATGTCAGTTGAGGATCTGGCTGGCAGCCTAGCCTCTGCTAAGAGATCCACCCTGCGATCTGTACTGGAATGCTCAGATTGCTTCTGGGTGTAACACTTGCTCATTTAAATCTGGCTTAAGACTCTTTGTGATGCACTGAAGTCCTGGAAGAGAAGTGGGTTGTATTTTGAAGATAATTAAGGCTTGCTCCAAAGCCTCTGTCAATTATGCTTAGCGATAAATACATTGTGGATGGTGTTGTTTGAACATTTCTGCTCTCCTCTTTTCTCCCAGGTGATTAGCACAAGGGACCTGGAAAGGTTCAGGGCATGGTGCTGGGAGAATCCCCCTGCAACGCAGTGGCTCGTAACATCAGCCTCCCTCTGCTTTGTGCACCATGCAGTCATTCACATGTTGTAAAGCAAGGATATATCAGCAGGCCAGGAGGGAGCATCTCACTTTACCTTCACTCTTTCTGAAAAAATTCCAGGCAGGGGAAAAACAATTTCACTGCCTCTGTAATGTTGCTTTCACTTGGTGTCTAAAAAACAATACTTCTCCTGTGCAAAAATCCACTTTTTTGCCCAAAATACATTTTTAGAATGTGCCAGACTTGTTCTCAGCTGTGGTGCTGACCCTGATATGCTTGTGCTGGCATTGCTTGCAATTGCTTCTGGTTGGTGTAGGGGTGACAAAGAGGAGACAGTGGGCCTCCACAGTTTTCCTGAAGTTCCCATGTAAGCAGAGTAAGGTGACCTTCTACTGACGAAATACAGCCCTTTTACCTTTTTACCTTCAGCAGACAGTTGGCAGACACAGCTGTTCTGCCTTTAGGTCCAGCTGCCACATACCCTTAGAGAGGAGGAGGAGAGAGAGACTGGAGGGAATAGGGGAAGGGGTAAGTACAGCTGAAAGGAGTGCTGCTACATCTATTTATTTTTTTTTTTTCCACTGCCATAGGCGTGTGCTGTTTCTGTGCATCTTTTAATTTGTGCCAGGGTGAGAGAGCTGTAACTGACTCCATCTGGCCCTCTCCCTTTAATTACCTCACTGCCACAGTTTTTCATTTGCTATTTGTTACTGGTCCACACCATTTGCAACAGTGAACACTATTGTAAGCAGTGGCTTCCGTTGCACATAGGAAACAAGTGATTAGTACACATGGGTGGAAGGGTTGAGTGGCCAATGCATGAAAAGTGGTGGAAAGGGTTGTGAGGACAGTTTGGAAAAGGTGTTGGGAAGTCAGTGAGGATATGCAGGGGGAGATTGCCAACTGCTGCTGCAGTGTCTCAGTAAATTATTCAACTAATAAAGACTCAGTTCAATTTTACAAGCACGGTGTCCTTTTATATTATTATCCAGTATGTAGTACATGAAACACCAATGAATTATCTAACAGGAAATAAATCTGTAAAAGTGCATAGTAAATCCTACTGTAACATCTTCAACAGCCTTCTTAACAAATGGTCTAAGTGTAAGTGCCAAGGACTATAAGATTACACTCACCCAAAGTCAGAAATGAATAAATAAATACAACATTGATCTCAAATTCCACTAACAAATCCACTTCCATTTCAGTTAAAAAAAAAAGAAAATCAATAATTCAAGGTGTTATCATATTTCTCATTCTTATTGTCTTAAAAGTCTACCAGCTGGGCCAGGCTATGAACAAAATTGGTATATTTAAAAAGAGGGAATAAAAGAGAAAAAAAAATGTTACAGAGAAGAAAAAAGATGTATGGAATATTCATATATATGTATATATCAGACCAAAAACTCCAGGTTAGAATAGTAGATGATGATGATGATGATTATTATTATTATTATTTTATTATTATTATTGCTTTGTTTTGTTTATTTCCACTCACAATCAAGAATGGGAAAACTCAAGGCAGGGTTTTTTTTTTTTTTTCAAACTTCCAGTGAATTCAAGCCCACAATTTCAATTAAAATTATGTGAGCTTGATAAATCCACAGCTGCCCTAAAAATACTTTAACTCCAAACATCTATGCATCTGATATTTTGGAACATGTTTATATATGTAGGAAAAAAAAAAAAAAAGAGGTATTACATATGAAGGAGGGTGGGTTGGGGCTTGCATAACCCAAATTCTGACTCAGCTCTATTATTAACCTCCTCTATAATCCTGGTCAAGATCCTGACGGGTTGAAGATGAGTCTAAAAGAGTCATTTACATGCATAGGACCTCCACTGAGGAGAGTCATGTTGCCCTTAATCTGCACTTAGTATTCAATACAAAATGCTGGACACAAGGCCTGTCTGAATTTCTTCCTCTTCGTGAGGTGAAGAGCTGCACAAGGAGCATTCCCTTGGAGGAACAATACTGAAGTCCTCCTCTGAGAAACTCTATTCTTTCCAAACTGCTGCCTCTGCTCTCCAGTGTTGGCAAAATGTGAGACACCTGGGTTTGGTACCCTTGTGCAATGCAATCCCACATATAACCTTTTTCTCAGAGCTTGCTCTAGTAGCAACTGGCCTGTAAGTAGATGCAGGGTACAGATGCAGAGAGGTGGTTGTTCTCTGCTCTGAATTTGTTTCTCTCTGAAAGCATTTGGCACTAAGTTATATTTTGCAGTCCCGAAAGTGGATGTCGCATAGATACTTTGTATTACATGTTTGAATTCAATTCATCACCTAAATTTCCGACTTTATTTCCAAGAAACTTCTCCTGATTTCTTCACTTGCACTCACTGCATCTGGTCTACATCTGTCCTTCACTCTAGGCAGCTCTTTATTATTTCTCACGTCTGGTAATGTGCCTTTGCTGTCTCTCATTTCATGTGAGGGAGAGACCAGCTGGCCACAAGTCCTGTTCTCACTTCTCTGTCTCCATCTGTGAAATGGAAATTACAATGCTTTCCTGACTTGCAAACATATTATAGGGATAATGCACTGAAAACCTACAGGTGCTATTTTCACAGAAGGACCTATACAGCTTTCTGGAACTTGGCAGAAAAGGTGATCTTTTACAGCAGCAGTTTGTTGAATGAGTCTTTTTATATCATCGTAGAAGATTTTGCATTGTCAAAGCCCCATTTAAACATGACTGCAAGGCATCAAGGACAAACGAAAAAGGTATCTCAATAGTACTAATTAAAGATAAATTAGCAAATGTTAGTTATTACTTCAGTGGAGGCCTTCACATTTCTAACGTTATGTCTAACAATGGTATTGATTCCTGCTGATGGTTTCCTTGCCCTTCTTGCAATACTGATACTATTGAAAAGAATATTTAATTCATAAATGCTCACCATACTTCAATAGCATAGTCAAACAATCCTTTCTTCTTTAAGTAATGCATTTCTTACATAACTTTGATAATATTTGCTTGGTTAATATGCTGGGCTATCCAAGGATTTTACTCAATTTAGACTGTAATGCTAAGATCTGAATACAATCTGAAAATATTCTTCTATGTGGTATTTCTTTCCCAGACCCTCTGTGCCCATTTATTTCTTTCTAATGGCAGTTTCAACTAATTCTCAGCTTTTACTTCGGTTTAATCACTGAAGCTGGGTGGTCAAGTGGTTTTACCTCCTTTCACTGAAATTCAGTGCAGACACCAACATCCAGCCATGAGAGTCCAATTACAAGATCATATACTCGTAAAGTCTTTTCATTACCTGTGTGAACACTGCCACACTTTCAGATTGAGACCTCTACACAATCTTGTAGTGAAAATAATCTACTGGGGTCCATTTCATTTCAACTAAGAACCTACGTCTTACAGCCAATAAAGTCTTCTTACCCTGAAATGGGTAGAAACAGCTGTCCTTTTTCCCTTATCAGAACAGGATAAAAAGGAGCCCTTCTGCAAATGAAAGTCGGTTCCCAAGTGTCTTGCCTGGGATGTGATAGATGTGTGCCCCTCAATAACTGTGAATTTGCGAGGAAGAACAATCTGCTTACAGGAGATTAGGTATGATGAGGGGACACTGAGAAAATTGTTTATGAGGACAGGGAAAAGAGAACCGACTTTGAAAGGAATCAGTGGTAAGGACTGCTAAACAGCTTATGCTGTGTAAAATGAAATTATTTTACGGAATCTCATCTGAATAGGAATGTTTTCGTGGTCTTTATGAACATCTGTAGAAGGTTAGTGAAATGTTCAGAAAACACTGATTTGGTGCAAAAGCTGTTGAGTTTGCTTTGTAAATGGCAGAACCAGAGCTCATCTCAGTTTTTGTTAGAGCCGGTCCAAAGGAACACAAAGCATAAAGCGTTTTCTGAGTTTTTATCTACCTTGTTCATGCTATTGAACCACTACAATGACCTTGTTTTTTTGCCTTTTCAGAAAATTTCTTGGTCTGCTTTTAGGAGCTAGAAGATAATAAAATTTATATAAAACTCCTGGCTCCCCTCTAAGAGCTTGCATCTTGGCAGACACCACACATTTCTGCATCCTCATGTTGATGGCTTCAGTCGAGGTGGGGGATTGTTATGGGGAGTTATCAGTATCCTAGCTCCTTTGGGGATGGTGATGGTTTCTTCCTCTGCACTTTAGTATATACTTGATGCGTTTTTTATGTGTTTATAACACACTTTATACATTGCTCTTTCTTCACTGGTCTGCAGGTTCATGTTACATGTAGATTTACTATATTGGGAGCATTTTATGTATGCTAAATACTTAAATACTCCAGGCCCATATTACTTTGACTGATCACTGTTAAGTTTCCTGTGGGCCTGGGGTTTCTAGTTCCAGCCTGTACGCTGTATCTTATTATCTCAAACCAGTACTCCTTCCATCCCTGCTTCCAAGTAATCTGCTATCATTCCAGGCCTGTACGCCTCCACAATGCAGCATTACAGTAGTCATAAATATTTAATTATACACAGAATAATTACTTGTAGCTTCTATCTATACAAATTATGGGTATAACACACAAAATGAACAAAAATAAAACAAAATAAAGAAAGCAACCTTATAAAACCTGCTGTTATTGCTAGAGAAGGTAAGATTAAGCCTCCGGCAGTTTAAGACAAATTCAAACAAAGAAAGCTTGACAAACCTCATCTTTGAGGCCTAGAAAAGTCAGTACAAAACATGTGACCTGTTTCTGGCAATGGTGATGCTCTTTTTATTGTACTTCAGAGCTTAAGCAGCATTTATCTGGTGCAATCTGCGATTAACTTCTGAACTCACACTGTATTGTTTTTGTGCTGTGTAAATGCTAGGAGCAGTTATGAGTGAAAATACAGCCAGCAGTTTTTAAGAAATGATACAATTCTAACAACAACAACAACAACAAAATCAGCCGAATGGCAATTCATGCTAAAGTTTATAAACTTTATTTTTATTTTTTTAAAAATTTATTTTTATTTTTATTTTTAACTTTATTTTTATTTTGGTGATTCATGATCATGAATAAACCAGAAATCAGTAAAAGGACAGTACAGAGTTTGCCATCAGATATGAGGGTGGTGAGGGTAAACACGTTTCACAAAACCAATCTATTTATCTATTATTTTACTTACCACAAGTATTAGCATTACAAAGATATGAAGATCACTAAAGCGTATGTAAAGTCTGTTACACCAATGAATTACTGCAGCTGTGAAATATTGAACCATCATGCATTTTACAGCACTGTACAACGTCAGTAGTATCTCAAAGACTGAGCTCCACTCCTGATATTGATATAAAGGACTGGGACTGCAGAGCAGAGTAGTTGCCTTCACACCAGACTCACCGACACTATTGGTGTTGCAGTAGCACAGCTCAGATTGCAGCACTGGTTAGAAATAACTGGGAAAATGTGAGTACCTGAATCAGGGCAAGGCAATTATCACCTGCCTTCATGTTGTGCAGCACAGCCACAGCCATACATCCAAGGTAATGAAGTCCTGAATCAGGCCTGCCAAGTTTTCCTTCACACAAAGGGAAGAAGAGTTTGAGTTAAGAAGACTTAGTCATGAATGCAAGTAGCCTTGCTTTCCTTTTTTTTTTTTTTTTTTTTTTTCTTCTTTCATTATTTATGAAGGGTATTAGCTCCTTGCTTAACAGGCAAGTGACACAGAGGAAAAATTGCATTGCTTGCAACTGAGCAGAGCTGGGAAAGAACATTACAGACAGATTTTTCGCAAGTCTTGAAGAGATGTCCTGTTTCATCCCCATGCCTCCAACCTATTTTACTCCCTTACACATTCTTACTAATACCTGCTTGGCTGTTTCGTTTGCCTTGTAGGGAATGGCATGCAAACCAGTGAGCAGCAGGGTACAAAGCCTGTGAAGCACTGCCACTGCTAGAGAGCTGAGCAGAGACACCATAATTTATTCTTCATTCCTAAAAATGCTGTAATCTG